CATTTATCTGATATTAATCATGGAAGTAAAATGTATCAAATTCGGAAACAACAACCTCTTCAACAAATGGTGCTGGCAAAACTGGACTACTACTTGGAAAAAGCTGAAGCAAGATCTACATCTCTCACCATATACAAAAATCAACTCAAAATGGATCAGCAAAGCCCCAAACCAGAAGGATCATAAGAGTCAAAGTGGGAGCAAGCTTAAAAGGCTTAGCACATGGTATACAAAAGGCTAACAAATACGGCCAAAAATACACAACCAGAAGAGGATAAAATTGATGGGTGGAAGCCATCAATCAATTAAAGACTAAATCCCTGTGTACATAAAAAACCTTTCTGAACAGGTGAAAAGAAAATGTAATTGATTGGGGGAAAAACATTTGGCAATAGCATCTCAGACAAGGGTCTAATAACAAAAATTTACAGACCACTACAGAGACACATAACAACAACAACTACAGAGACTCCATAAAGAAAAAAAAAGATTGATAACCCAATTACAAAATGATCAAAAGACCTGGGAAGACTTTTCACAGTGGAAGGCATTCTGATGGCCTACAGACACATGAGGAAATGTACAAAATCACTGGCAATAAGAAAGACACAAATCAAAACCAAAATGAGATCCATCTCATCCCAGTAACAGTGGGAAAGTTTTGCAGAACAGCAAGCTTTGAGCTCCAGTAAATGTTGGAGAGGATGCGGAGAGATTGGAAAGCTCACGCACCGTTGGTGGGATTGTAAAATGGTATAACCACTCTGCAAGGCAGTTGGTTGTTTCCTCAAAAAGCTCAACATAGAAATTCCAGATGATCCAGCTATTCTACTGCTAGGGATATATCCAGAGAAAATTAGAACTAAGACACAAACAGAGATTTATACATCAGTGTTCATAGCAGTGTTAGTCACAATTGCAAGAACATGTAAACAGCCCAAATGTCCAACTACAATCAGATTAATTGAGAAATTGTGGTACCTTCACATGATGGAATACTTCACAGCACTCAAGAGCAACGATTTAAAAAATTACTATGTAACTTTGGAGGGACTGGAGAGCATTATGGTGAGTGAACTAACTCGGTCTCATGAGGACAAATACTGCGTTAAAACCATTATTGTAGAAATAATTAGTAAAACGTATATGAAGATCTAAGGCTGAAAGGGTAGGAACAGAGAGTGGGAATGGGTGGGAGGGTACATCACAGAGTCACATGATTGGGTGAGTGGAAGGAGGAGATAGATAAAAGAAATGGGAAAGATCCCATGAGGGTCTGGAAAGCCAGAGAGGGTAGTGGTGGGCATAGTTCAATGATGATTAATTTTATAAAACATAATGAATAAAAATTATTGTATGAAAAATAGCGTGAACAAAAGATAGCATGAGATGCAATGTATATGAACTTTGTAAGTAAAACAGTATAATATAAATTTTTTTAGAAAAGAGCAGTGTTGAGAGCATTTTTGAGGTTTATGTTCCAGTATTTGAAACTGGTTGGTACAATCAATGTTTGATGGGTATATTTATTGAGAAACAGGATGGAGGAAAAAAAGCAGGTCTTTCAGAAAGGAAAATTAACCAAGTTTTAAGCATTTCTGAGTTTGAGAAAATAGTGAGACTATTAAGACTGAGTAGTGAGACTATTGTAAGGAGAGACCGGTCCTTGGAGAGGGACATCATGCTTAGGAGGGTGGAGGGACAGGGCAGGAGGGGAAGGCCCTCTATGAGGTGGATTGATTCAGTGACTGGGGTAATCGGGATGGGTCTATTGGAGACAGTGCAATTGGCACAGGACAGAGCAGAGTTTAGGGCTATTGTACATAGGGTCGCTATGAGTCACAAGTGACTCGATGGCACATGACAACAACAACAGTGAGACTATTGAAACTATTACAGAGAAACAGTCTTTTAGAGGTCAGTTTCATGGTTCTCATGAGATAAAAGAAACCTGTGAAAGACATGCAGTGGGTGAGTTGTTAGAATGGGGATGGTACCAAGATCCTAGGAGTGGGTAGCATGGTGCGAAGGGTAACAGACCCTGATGAAGAGACTCATATATTAGTCATACATGATGATCTTGTCTCTCCAAGAAGATAGGTAGCTCAGAGACAGGGGTCAGCTTCATTCATTCATAGCTTCTAGCATATTTTTGACGATAAGAAAAAGAATTTTCTCATTTACTCTGATTTGATTTCTGTATTTTTAATGCTGCTAAGGGATACGTTTTCTAAAAGGTAAAGTCATGACTTCTTATAATGAACACTTGTCATAAATTTTACTTTGAAAGCTACTTCCTTACTTACTATAACCACTTCAGGGGAGAATCCGAAGAGCAGCCACAGATCCAGACAATCAGGAGTGCTAAATGAACTTGCTTTATGGATGTCTCACTTCTTCCAAAGGACTAAGGGAGTTCAATTGCACTCCTTTTAGGAAAAATTCATTTGCTTGACTATACACAGATAATTAATACCAACAATCCATAATTTATAGAGTTATAAAACAAAACAAAAAAAGGCATAGAGTCAGACAATCTGGAATGGTGAACTAGTTCATTAAAGATAATGTCTTTTTTTGGTTCATTTAAGAGTATTTTGTGATTTTCCTCAAAAGTATTAAATAGCATGGAGAATTCATTTTGAGTTAGGAAGTTTCATGGTAAATACTTGGTTTTGTAGGTCAGGGAAAACTTTAACATTGAAATGAAAAGTTTTGTTGTAAGGTTTTTCCCATTCACACAGGGACTGGTTAGTATAAAATTAAGGTGCTTATGCTTACTTACTAATACCTTGAATGACAATTTCTCGTTGGTTTCACCACATCTTTAGGCATAACCGTAGAGATGATCCCAGAGCAATTATTATTACCAAGAGCAAGCATTGCAGGCATATCCTTTTCAGTGGCAATGTTGCTGTTGTTGTTGTTATGTGCCACGGTGTCTACTGTGACTCATAGTGACCAATAGCTCTGAACTTTGCCCTATCCTGAGCTAATCTCACTGTCTCCAACTCAGGTGCCCCCATTACTGTGTCAATCCTTCTTATCCAGGGTCTTCCTCTCCTGCGTTGTCCCGCCACCCTTCCAAGCATAATGTCCTTCTCCAAGATTGGTTCTTCCTGGCCATGTGCCCAAAGTACATGAGATGAAGGTTCAAAATCTTTGCTTCCAAAGAATAACTTGGTTTCACTCTCTCCAAGACAGACCTGTTAGTATTCTTGGCAGTCCATGGTATGTTCAATATTCTTTTTCAACATCACAACTCATATGTATTAATTCTTCTTCAGTCCTCTTTAGTC